CTATTTTTTTTTTGAGTGAAATGGGGGAATCAATTGTGCCACTGTACTTTTTTTTTTTTTACATTTTTTTTTTCCATCTCAAAAAAAAAAAAAAAGAAAAAAGAAAATTTTTTTTTTTTTGTGTTTTTTTTTTGTTTGAGCCTGATCTGATGGTTAGGACTCACCTAAACGTGGGCACCCCAGGTTGCTTGCTCTTTTCTGGTGATGGCACTCTCTTATGGAGTTCATTTTTTTTTTTTTTCATTTTTTTTTTATAAATACTGGAGAACTGGTCTAGAGCTCAAGAGTTTTTTTTTTTTTCCATTTTTTTTTTATTTTACTACATATAATTATGCCTCCCCTCTTCTTTTTTTTTTTTTTTTTTTTTTTTTTTATTCTCTTCATTATCTATTTCAAATTGATTTTAGTTTTTTTTTTTTTGTTTTTTTTTTTTAAACATTCCAGTCATTTCAAGCCCTTCAGACATCTTTTTTTTTTTTTCTTTTTTTTTTTTTTTTGTTTCCTCCTTTTCTTTTTAAAGCTTGACTTTTTTTTTTTTTTAAGTTTTTTTTTTTGTTTTTCAGTGTGATGTGAATTGCCATCATGGCTTTTTTTTTTTTTCATTTTTTTTTTTCTGTCACTGTGTAGGCAAGACCTAAGAAAAGGCTTTTTTTTTTTTTTCATTTTTTTTTTTAGAGAACAACTGATTTTTCTCCTTGGAACCTGGTTTTTTTTTTTTTTAAGTTTTTTTTTTAAGGATCTGTCTCAACACTTCACATTTGTAGTATTTTTTTTTTTTTTTATTTTTTTTTTTCGTATATAAAATTGCGCTTTCTTGTTGGTAAAAATTTTTTTTTTTTTTAATTTTTTTTTTTGCAACTTAATCATTACCAAGCACTGCCCTGTATCTTGCTGGAATGAAAATGAAAACAAGCCTTCCCTCTACATAGTTGTAAGCTACAAAAGAGTTTTTTTTTTTTTTCTTTTTTTTTTTCAGACAACTGAATAATGAACAAATATATTTAATTTTTTTTTTTTTTTCCATTTTTTTTTTAAGAATACAAACCTAAATTTTTAAATATGAATCATTTTTTTTTTTTTGGCTTTTTTTTTTTAATAGGCTAAGGTTTGAATTCCTACCTCAGGGATTTTTTTTTTTTTGGATTTTTTTTTTAACAAACAAACAAAAAGATCACAAAACATTTTTGTTTTTTTTTTTTTAGGTTTTTTTTTTATTTGGGTTTTGGCAAGGCCAGTATCCCCATGCTTTTTTTTTTTTTTTTGTTTTTTTTTTGCTATCGTTAGCATTCTAATGATGTCATTTTGATTATACATGTGGCCTGAGGTTTTAAAACATCTGGTGCCTTTTGTAAACCAAACTAATAAACTTTTTTTTTTTTTTCATTTTTTTTTTACAGGATGGAGGCATTTCCCAGCAAAGCTATTAATTTTTTTTTTTTTACTTTTTTTTTTTCTATTTAAAGGCACAAGGAAAATTAGTAGGGAACTTTTTTTTTTTTTCCTTTTTTTTTTTAATTCCTCCTTGTCACCAGGTCCTTGGGTGCCACCTCAACCCATCTGCCTGTTTTCTCCCTCCCTCAGTTCTCTATGAGAGGGTCTTCTCCTCATTTTTTTTTTTTTTTTTTTTTTTTTTGAAGTGGTAGGCACTTTCTTAGTCTGGTTGGATGTTTTTTTTTTTTTAGCTTTTTTTTTTTAGTGCAGGTATAGGCCTGAAGCTTAGCATTGAATTTTTTTTTTTTTCGATTTTTTTTTTAGAGGGATTAGCATGAAGACATGACTGTGAATGTTTTTTTTTTTTTTGAGTTTTTTTTTTGAGGAGAAACAGAATGTCTCTGTTATTGGGAACATTTTTTTTTTTTTTCCTTTTTTTTTTAAAGTCATCCTAACACATTGTGGTATAGCAGTGCTTTTTTTTTTTTTCCTTTTTTTTTTTTGCACCCATAACTGCTTTAATGGTAAGGCAGCCCTTTTTTTTTTTTTATCTTTTTTTTTTACTTGAGAGACTAGTTTTAAGCAACTTTCAACCTCTGCTTAAATTTTTTTGAAGGAGGCCGGGCGCGGTGGCTCACGCCTGTAATCCCAGCATTTTTTTTTTTTTTTGCGTTTTTTTTTTGAGGTTGGGAGATCGAGACCACCCTGGCTAACACTTTTTTTTTTTTTCTTTTTTTTTTTTACAAAAAAAATTAGCCGGGCGTGGTGGCGGCGCCTTTTTTTTTTTTTACTTTTTTTTTTTCAGGAAGGATGGCGTGAACCCGGGAAGCGGAGCTTTTTTTTTTTTTTGATTTTTTTTTTTCACTCCAGCCTGGGCCATAGGCGAGACTCCATCTTTTTTTTTTTTTTAAATTTTTTTTTTAAAATAATAATAATAATAATTTTGAGGGAGAGAGTTTTTTTTTTTTTTTCTTTTTTTTTTAGTTTACTCTTTGATCTGTACCTATAATGCTCCATTTTTTTTTTTTTGTGTTTTTTTTTTTCATTTTCACAGAATTAGACACCCTGCTAAAGGATTTTTTTTTTTTTATATTTTTTTTTTGTCAGTAAACAAAAGGAGACAAAAAGTTGAGAGGTTTTTTTTTTTTTTCATTTTTTTTTTCCTTTCTGACTGAGAAATGCACCCACTTCCCTGTTTTTTTTTTTTTTTCCTTTTTTTTTTTCTAGGATGGAAAGGAAGAAAAGTTGGAGCAGGGTTTTTTTTTTTTTGCTTTTTTTTTTTTCTCCCCAAGAATTTCTTATTCAGCCTCCCTGAATTTTTTTTTTTTTAAGTTTTTTTTTTATTTTGTGTTAAAATTGACCCATTAGGGGTCCCATTTTTTTTTTTTTCAGTTTTTTTTTTAGGATGAACACAGCGGTGCTAACTGGGCTGCAATTTTTTTTTTTTTTAAATTTTTTTTTTTGATTCCGCCTCCAGAGAATGCTACCTCAGGGAGTTTTTTTTTTTTTCTTTTTTTTTTTTTCTAAAGAACAGAGTTAGTGTAAATTGCATTTAATTTTTTTTTTTTTTAATTTTTTTTTTTGGTGCCATGCTAAAGTTAAGTTCTGTTTGTTTTTTTTTTTTTTTTTACATTTTTTTTTTTACATTAAGTGAAAAAATTCAGACTCATATTTAATTTTTTTTTTTTTTGGTTTTTTTTTTAGACACCATCTCTTAAAAAAAAAAAAAGAGAGAGTTTTTTTTTTTTTGGCTTTTTTTTTTGTGCCTGTAGTCCAAGCTACTTGAGAGACTGAGGTGGGAAGATCACTCGAAGCCAGGAGGTCAATACTGCAATGAGATGTGACTGCACCACTGTACTCTGGCCTGGGCAACAGAGCAAGACCCTGTCTCAAAAGTAAATATGTAAATAAAAGTAAAAATAAGCATATGTCTCCTAAGTTGGACCATATATCCCTAATCGTTAGGGCACCATCTCCCACATGCTGGCTTTGTGCCTAAGGGAGGGAGGAACATGGCGTCTTCAGTGTAGAACCTGTCGCACACTTCACGTGGATTTGGATGAACTGGACCTGTCCCTTGAGTCCAGAGCTCCTGTGGTCTGTGATACTTTTCCCCAGAATAAAAGGTTCTGTAGGCTCAGTTTTAGTAATTTTTAGTCTATATTTACTTATCAAACTCCTATTTTCATAGTCTTCCATCTCCTCCCATCCTATCTGGCATGCTTCTCACAGTTTTTTTTTTAACAGATCTTAGGCCTGGTATTATTTAATCTTTCTTTTTTTTTTTTTTTTTTTTTTTTGAGACAGTCTCAGTCTGTCACCCAGGCTGGACTGCAATGGTGCGACCTCGGCTCACTGCAACCTCCACCTCCCAGGTTCAAGCGATTCTCCTGCCTCATCCTCCTGAGTAGCTGGGATTACAAGCATGTGCCACCATGCCTGGCTAATTTTTTTTGTATTTTCAGTAGAGACCGGGTTTCACCATGTTGGTCAGGCTGGTCTCAAACTCCTGACCTCATGATCTGCCTGCCGCGGCCTCCCAGAGAGTCGAGACTGAGAGAATTCTACAAAAACCAAAACAAAAAAAAGCAAAACCAAAACCAAAACCAAACAAACAAACAAACAAAAAAAGCCTTGCTAAACTAACCTTTATCTTCCTAGTTATGTTTCTACAATTGCCATTCTTTGTTCAGCATATGAGCACTTAGACTTAGTCGCTTCTTTTTTTAGTCTCCATTTTTCTTGTAAGGGCTCACATGTACGTGTAAAGGCATAACATTCATATGCTTTTCTGTTGTTAATCTGTCAGTCCCAGCTTTAACCCCTGGGAGGGAATAGGAGAATTTTATCCTCCCTTACACATGTTTGGTTTTTTTTTTTTTTGGTATACAGATTTGATTGGAAAATAGAAAAGTATAGAATCTCAACAACCAGCAGCCAGGTTTTCTTTCATCTCCAGAAAGAAAAGTGGTATGAAAGGATACTATAGATTATGTTGAAACTGTAATTACCAGCAGGCAAGCCTTCTATAAAATGGTGTGTTCGATTGAGTCGACCATACAGTTTTTTGAAAGTGGGAAAGGCAGCTGCCCGCATCCACACAATGAAGTCATCATTGAGGAAGCCGTTGTTTCTTGGATCCTTTTTATCCAAGTCATAGATAGGCTTGGGCCAGTTTGGAGGCTTTGTGGTTCCTGTGGGAAGAAAATAAGTGATATGATAGAGAAAAAAAATCATCTATTCTCTTCAGCTTTCTTTAGAATGTAGAGAATGAAAGAACTTCTGCATTCTTGAGGAAATAGAAATAGAAATTATACTTTTAAAAAAAGTGTGTATGTGTGTGTTAGCTACCTGAGTGTGCAACCATGAAAAATAATGGCTTTAAAATTCTAAAGGAATGATCATGATATTTTCATTAAGTTAATAAAGAGCAGAATATTGGCTGGGTGTGGGGGCTCATGCCTGTAGTCCCAACACTTTGGGAGGCCCAGGTGGGTGAATCACTTGAGGTCAGGAGTTCAAGACCAGCCTGGCCAACATGGTGAAACCTATTTCTACTAAAAATACAAAAATTAGCTGGGCATGGTGGTGCACTCCTGTAATCTCAGCTACTTGGGAGGGTGAGGCAGGAGAATTGCTTGAACCTGGAAGGTGAAGATAGCAGTGAGCCGAGATCGCACCATTGCATTCCAACCTGGGCGACAGAGTGAGTAAGACTCTGTCTCAAAAAAAAAAAAAAAAAAAAAAAAGAGCAGACTATCAAATTATATGCATACTGTGTCTTCAACTACATTCAATGCATATAAAGCATTTAAAAAAATAGAACAAAATGATCATGGTGGTTGCATTCAGTGATAAACATAGGAAATACCTCTTTAAAACTTTTATTGGGAAATATCTTTATTTTATTTAAATTTACTAGTCATCTAAGGAGTGCAAATTAAACCAAGATACCATTTTCATCTAAAAATTGGTTAATATTTAACAACAAAAAAGTGACAACCATTGAAGAGGCAGTAGAAATGAGAACTCTTGTACAGAGCGGATAGGTGCACTAACTTCTTCAGCAATCTAGGAACATGCATTGAATGCTTTAATATTTTGCATACATCTTGGCCCAGAAATTCTGTTTCTAGGAATGTATTCTAAGGAAATAATCATGGCATGAAGACTGGGTTACACAGATGTTCACTGCAGCACTGCATCTAAGAGTTAAAGTTGGAAGGAGAGAGGAGAAATTGGTAAGTGGGAGGAAGTGGAAAGCAAAGGCATTGTGAGCCTGTTCTCAAGCCAGGAAGCCTGGTAGGTTTGGGAGCTGCAGAACTGTTGGAAGCACAGGGTGGAGGGTGGTTCCAGGAGATGAGCCGTTGGGTTTACCGTCATTCTCACACTTCCCACTTTACAGCAGGAGGCATGTTTGTCTCTCCCACTCTATAGGAGACTTGAGAACAGTGTCATCCTCATCTGTGTTTTCATTAGCATTGAGTCTAGTGCCTGGCCCATAGTAGGTATTAAATACATGCTTGATAAAGGGATGAAAGGTTCCAGTTAAATCCGATGACAAAAACCATTAAGAATTGTAAAGAGCTAGTCAGAAAGAGTAAATTGCTTAATGAGAATTGTACTTCCATAAAGCCAGTTCTACTATTTGTAGGATGCTAGAATGCTAAATAGGGAGTCACTCTTTCTCAACTCTGACTACTGACTAGACTATGTTCTAAAAGAAACCCAGACCTGTTTTCTAAGCTTGGGCTATGATGCTTGTAAAAGTATATGTGGAGTGTTGTTGGGTTAATCTGCTGACATATGTTTCTACACTCATATTCCCTTGAGAAATAATCCTCTGCTGGAGCATCTTCTGCAAATATTGTACAGTCTACTTATTTTGGCTCTTCCCAAGACTCAATCACTGATGCTAGAAGAATTTTGATCAAAACTGAAATTGCCTTTGGCACCTGCACTGTGGACTTCACCTTCTGTCTACTTTGGCCTGAGCTCACGACTGAAGGCAGTGTGTCCTATGAGCCACTGACATCAGAATCACCCAGGGGGCTTGTTAAAAATGCAGGTTCAAGCATGTCCTCCCCTACCAACTCCTACTTCTGTGCCATCCCATGTCTTCAGAGAGTATGAAAAGTATGGTCTAAGAGACATCAACTTCATTTTCTAAGTTCATTCGGGTCATTTGTATTGATCCATTTATTCATCTATAAGCATTTCTTTTTTTAATAAAATTATTTTTTTCTTGGGAGCATAGATTCAAGATGGCCTGAATCTATGTTCCTAAGCATGTCTTATACAAAACTGCAAAAGACCCAATCTCTTTCTTCAAGGATTACAGGCTGTGGGCATGACAGGTATATAAACAGATAATTAGAGTATAATGTGGTAACTCTTACAATAGAGGTAAGAACAAAGTGCAGCAGGAGATGAGAGAAAGCTAAGGACCCTTCGTGTATAGGCCTACGGTTATGTGGTAAGAAAATGCTACAGAATGTGGCCAAGTCCCTTTTGAAAACAGTAATTCAATTACAGATACAGTGACCATATATATCGGTTTGCCTAGCACAGTCCCAGTTTATGTCTGTTGTTCATTATCTCATCTGATTTAGCTTGTATCCCACACAAGGTACATATCATTTCATCCTTCCAGCATCCAGCCATGATCTTAGCTAGTAATGTGTGAGATGTCCATGTGCAGTGAATGGAATGCTTACTTTTACATATGATTATACATGAAAGTTAACCAGAGACCCTTCCAGTCAAAACATAATAAAACATATCCCTGTAACCCATGCAAGCTGTTAAGCATTCCAGCCAGTTAGGCAATAGTTTCTTTCTGTGTTAGCCTGTGAGATGTGTGAAGCTGCCAGGCTGCAGATCAATGGGGTCAGTGAGAAACATGGAAAATTATGGGTTAGGTTATGGATACATGATGCATGTGTGGGAACTAGATACTGAGCAGTCCTGCTGAGAGTAGTTTGAACTCTCTTGCAACAGTGGTTCTGTTACTTTATTTTATTTTATATTTATTTATTTTGAGATGAAGTTTTGCTCTTTCGTCCAGGCTGGGGTGAAGTTGGCTCACTCCAACCTCCGCCCTCCAGGTTCAAGCAATTCTCCTGCCTCAGCCTCCTGAGTAGTTGGGATTATAGGTGCCTGCCCCCATGCCTGGCTAATTTTTGTATTTTTAGTAGAGATGGGGTTTCACCACGTTGGCCAGGCTGGTCTCGAACTCTTGACCTCAGGTGATCCACCCACCTTGGCCTCCCAAAGTGCTAGGATTACAGGGGTGAGCCACTGCACCTGGCCTTGTTACTTACTATATGGTGTGACTATATAACTATTGTATTTGGTAACAGTTTCTTATTTGCTAATAATTCATTTTCGCTGTGAAGAGCTAAAAAATGGAAAACACGTATTTCGTGTAAAGTTCAGTACAGTTTTTTAAGATGATTGAACGTTATACTTGCAATATTGGTTGATATTTACCCCCCACCATGGGCACCGTAGTGGTCTCAAATGACCATGTGAAAATCAAAAGATATACATCTGCCAAAGAACATTAGAATCTACTTCAAAAGTTTATGCTTATTTTTTAAAGATTGTGTCCAAAGACAACAATCTGTAGAAATTGCACTTACGTGTCATTGTGTGAGCATGACTTTTCATTTAGATCAAATGAATTTCCTTCTAGTTTCACTTTTTTATGACATTTTGTTTTGTTTTGTTTGTTTAGAGATAGGGTGTTGCCATGTTGCCCAGGCTGGACTGGAACTCCTGGGTTCAAGCGACCCTCCTCCCCAACCTCCTTCTCGAGAGCAGAGATTGCAGGTGTGCACAGCTATGCCTAGCTACAGGTTGTTGATGTTTTCTTTTTTTGTAATCAAAGAGCAGCTTTTAATGTGTTGGCTTAGTGCAAAAATAATTTGTAAATAGTTAAATGAGGTCAATTTTATATGAATGTATTCAGATACTTCAAATAGAAAAATCAAATAGGTTAATTATAATAACGATTTGATTTTTGGTTTGATTCCTCATGAAGTCAAAGCAAACCTTTTAGAAGTTCAATCTTTGATGATGAAAACTCTGACATTATTATAAACGTTACTATAAGTTCAGTTACAAAATTCAACAATTGGCCAGGTGTAGTGGCTCATGCCTATAATCCCAGCATTTTGGGAGGTCAGGGAGGGTGGGCCACTTGAGCCCAAGAGTTTGATACCAGGCTGGGCAATATGGTGAAATCCCATCTCTATAAAAAACAAACAAAAAACCCCCAAACAAGTTAGCTGGGTGTGGTGGCACACACCTCTAGTCCCAACTACTCAGGAGGCTGAGGTGGGAGGATAGCTTGAGCCAGGGAGGTGGAGGTTGCAGTGAGCTGAGATTGTGTCACTGCACTCTAGCCTGGGCAACAGGCAGAGACTCTGCCTCAAAAAAACCCCAAAAACCAAAAACCAAAACCCCTTAAACAGAATTCAACAATCAGGTTTAAATTGTTTGGTTCTGTAGAGACAACATAACTGCAAATTTGGTGGAGCACAACATCAGAGTAAAGATAATGCTGTTAGTAAATTGAGAAATTGACAGAGAAGAAATGTACTTAAAATTAGTCATGGTACATACATAATTCACAATTGTATCCAAACAGGCTACAATATTTTGTTAATCAAAAGAAGAGCTGTAGTTGTACAAATTCAAGTATTTTTGTATATTAACAGTTAGAAAAACTGAATTTTTTTCTTTTTCTTTTTTTTTGTGATGGAGTCTCACTCTGTGGCCCAGGCTGGAGGGCAGTGGCGCAATCTTGGCTCACTGCAACCTCCGCCTCTCGGGTTCAAGCGATTCTCCTGCCTCAGCCTCCCAAGTAGCTGGGACTATAGGCACCCACCACCATGCCCGGCTAATTTTTATATTTTTAGTAGAGACGGGGTTTCACCATATTGTCCAGGCTGGTCTCGAACTCCTGACCTTGTGATCTGCCCCCCCCTCAGCCTCCCAAAGTGCTGGGATTACAGGCATGAGCCACCGCATCTGGCCAAAAAACTGAATTTTCCTTTGCAAAATTTTTATAATGACACATGTTAAATTAAACAAATACTTCAATGTGGTATTATATGTGGTCTCTCATTGTTGGGCATCATCAACCAGACAGAATTTTAGAAGAGTTTGAACCTCTAAATAACTTTTT